ATTTTTAAAGTCATTGTTGTAGAAAATGTTGGGAATTCTCTTAGATAAACTTGAACACTAGAAAATAACGAATGAAGGGCTTGAGGCTAAGTGAATGTCATGGCGTTCATAGATGTACATTAGATCGTACCAGAAAAAAAGTTCGCCGTACACCCTTAAGTCTAAAGAATTTTTGCAAGGCAATTTTTTAAACAATACTTGTGTTTTGTTCGGACGTAGGGGTATTATTTTTACATTTTTCGAATCTTAAAATATGATATATCTACCGATGTTCCTGCCGCGAGAACATTTTTTTGTTCCAAAATTCATTACCCCGTTTTAGTACCACCCCAATATCAGGAAATTAAAGCTCGCCAAAAATTATTAAACTTTTGCTAAGGAAGTATTTCGATTATGCCAGTAGAACTATTTTACAAAAAAATTTTATTGCCGAATATTCTTAGGCACCTGTGGAAAATATAAAAAGGCACACCCTAGGTTCCACCAAAAAAATGCACGGCGAACTTTTTTTATTCTGCCTTATCCTGAGTTTCGCCTGAAAAAAAAATTCATCCGAAAATTTGTCATTCGCCCATAGTAAAACCATGGACACCAAAAGTGAAGAGTTAACCGGTTCGGGGAAAATGAAACTCATGATAAGGCTGATTTGCTTGTAAGATGGAATGGCTTAATGCACATACATATGTATTAGGGTGTTTAATTTTTAGCGATAAATTTTTTTCTCTTCATAGAATGTTAACTTAATTTCTAATGTAAGAATAATAAATATCGTCTTAAAAGACGTTTAATATAAATTATTATTAACATTTATCTTTCCAGCTCTATAGCTCAACAACTTTTTTCTGTAGCAAATTTCATGCCCTACAAAACCTGTACAATCTTTTTCACAAAAACCCCGGATTCTGATATCCGGTAGACTGCTGCCCTTAATACATAAATTTCGCAATAGTGTTATTGGGTGTTTTGTTTAGCATACTTATGACCAGATTATCTGCTTTTCGAGCTGAACTAACCAATACTTAGTTACAATGCAATACAAAATGTCTCCTCTGAAGTCTGAAGTTATAAAATGATCCTGTAATAAAAATATAACTTCTCCGTCTGCAACCCTGCTTTATTGAATATTTTTGGTAAATAGAGGAGAAACGTTCGACGTTGGAACAAGTAAGAGGGATTTGAAAAATTTCAAACTTGTCTGATTTGTTCGACCGTTAGTGGCGCAGTTCGCGATGTCGTTATATGAGGGTATTTTGAACCATTGAAGTGAGCACATCACGGGAAATTGCAACTAAAATTAAAATATATAAAGATAGGAATAGGAAAACTAGAATCATGGAAAAAACCACTGGACAAGTAGAGGGAAGTAGACAAAACTGCCACGATAGAAACTGTAAAAAAATATCAGGGCATACGAGCCTGCTACCGGCGGAAATTTCAGACTTCGGTATCAATACTGAGTACTCATTCTGGCATCGAGCTCATGGTATCGATACTCCTAAAGTATCAGGGAAAAAGTATCGATACTATTCAGTATCTTACTCATTTGAATAAGTTTTTAGGGATACTAAAATTATTTTATTCTTCAATCGTACATATATCTAGAAATTTCCTGAAATTAAAATAATAGAAATTTAAAATATTTGATTTTATTTCATTGCAGATCTTACTTTCACGTCAGAAGTAATTTTAACGTTAAATGTACATACATACATAAATGCATTTTTGTAGCCTATTCAATTTTAGTAAAATAATATGCAAGTTTGAATTAAAAGTCAACGGTAGTAGGCTACAAAAAAAATTAAATAATTTAAAAAGTGTGTTTTTTAAAAAGTATTCGATACTACGAGTACTTTGCAAAGTATCGAGTAAAATCACCAGATAAGTTATCGACTATTAAAGTACTCATTTTTATACCCTCAGTATCGATGCTTACTCAATATCGATAGTATCGTTCGAACCCTAGCCGCCTCGCTCTCGCTAAGCAGTCTCTTCAGTCACCTCTCAGAAACGACATAGTTCGTTCATAAACGTGACAGGTGCGACAATTGTCGATTTTTCTATAAAATTTCAGAGCCAGAATTGTTGCCGCCTTTTTTTGTTTCATATACGCTTGTAGGTAACTGAATTTTTTTTAGAAAGCGACAGTGACAATACTGGAATATTGTCGATAATGGTGCTGACAATTGTCACTCTGACAAAAATGTCACGACAATAGCGACAAAACTAAATACCTTCGTTGGAGGAGAATTTTGTAAATTTGTTTATATGGTAATTGCGCACATTTCATTAGTTTTCATTAATTTGAGTATTACATATGAGTTACATAAAAATGTCTTATGACTGGCAAACATTTTGTCAATGGCAATTTTAAAACCCGACAATGAAAATTTGTCACTTTTTGAATGGAATTACTCATGGAATTGAAGCGGTGGTGGCAATTACTTTTATGAAACAAAACAACCACCAATCTGTCGGATTGTCACTGACGATACGAAAAATGCCTGTCGTTACACAATTATCACTGTCGCGTTATGAAATAGGTCCCAGATCCCTAGCTTGTGAAGGTGACCTATTACCCTCTCTTTGGGGAGGTTTGTTATTGCTCTGTATCTTGTAAGGTTGTAGCCTTCTAGTAGGCATTTAGCCTTGCCTAGACCTGCAGTGTTACACCAGTGTTGGTTTCTTAGCCTGTTCCTCTCCTTCCTGAGCTCTTTCTTGATTGTGCTAGGTCCGATTGCAAGGAAGGGCTCAAGTCCTATACGTGACGAGGCAGCTGCCATTCTGGCTAGCTGGACCGCTTCCTGGTTGCCAGAAAGTCCTATGCCTCCTGGACCCAAGTTAATTGGATGCCATTGTACTCCGCCAGGATGTTATCAATGCACTCAAGAGCCAAGGAGGACTTTAACTCAAATAATGAGAGGGCATTGAGTGCCGCCTGGCTATCGCTCAATATTAAAATTTGCTCATTACGGTAACTTGTACGTAGGTTAATCTCTGCACACAGACTTATCGCATAGACCTCCCTTGAAAGATGATCGGGTATACTCCCATGGGTACCAAGACCTCTACACTTGGTCCGCAGTTGCCTACCCCAATGCCGTCGGGCGTTTTGGAGCCGTCTGTATACCATTGCAGCGAGCTCGCTTGTATGTGACTCTCCGAAAGAGAGGTGTTCCAAGTAGCTTTACAGCAAAGCTATATTTTAAATTTCCTGTCAAAATCAACTGACCTGGACCTATAACCTCTGCGTAGTGAAGATATTAAGCATTATTACAGAGAATTTAACTTAATAAACTTATGTTCAAGTATTATAAAATAGTTCACAAAAGACTCGAAAAATTGGCTTATTAAATATATCACAAGTATTTGAACAATGCAATATATCATATGTACATATATTGCACTGTTCAAATACTTGTGATATATTTAATAAGCCAATAATAAAAAAAAAATATTTTGGTTTTTTTTTTAAATTTTGGTACTCTTCTTCGTAAGCAAAAAAAGAACTAAGTGGCAACTGTGGCTTCAGCGCCTGAGTCAGCATACAATCAACCAACTAACCAAACAACAAGCAATCCTACTAGCCAACCAACCAAGCAACAACATATTCAACATCATCAATGACCTAAGGGTGGGTAACTCAGCAAATTTATAGGAGTTGACTCAATGACTCCAACTCACTTTAAGGAGTCAGCTCATTCAACTAACTCATTTGACTCTTTGTATGTTACACTCATTCGTATCGTAGACTCGTTTTGAGGCATAGATGCGGTATAGCGGCCGTTGAGATAAAACAAAACTTTAAAGTGGGCGGGGTCAGCTCCTTTCTACTGATTTGAAAGGTGTAATTTTTTTTGTGTGCAAATTAATAGGGCGGTGCTAGGGGGAGGGTAAAGGTGGAATTTTCAATATTTTCAAAAGCTTATATTTCGAAACCTATTGTACCGAATTTCAAAATGTGGATATGGTTGGAAAGGCAATTGATTTGATATGCACATCTTTATATATCTTACATACATACATATTTCGAGAAAAACTAAAAAAAAAACGAAATTATAAGAATTTGTGAGATTTGACATAACACCCGCAATACAAAATACATGTGGTTGTTGTTGTTGTATTCTTGCCACCACCTTGTATAAATTCGCCTCGTGCAAAAACAAAATGCAAGACTTTGCCATGCTAAACACTGTGGCGAAGCGAGAGAGTTATATGGACAAATATGAGCCACTATGATTCAATTGATTCATGTGAGCCCTACGGCATCAACTGAGTTACTGAGTTACATTTTTTTTGGACAGGGAGTCTGAGTTACCGCTTCACTTATAGGAATCAACTCAATAACTCAACTCTGAGTTGAGTTACCCACCTCTACAATGACCTTCAGTAGAGTGTGTGCATCTCACGACAGGCTTTTGCCGCCCAGCAACTGCTACCGCACAAACTATGCAATTTTCTATGCAATCGAGAGATATCCACACTCTAAAATTGCTCTATTTGTTTTTGTTAATTCACTTTTACTCTTCTTCCGTATGTTATGTTTTGCGCATTTTAACCCCACTCATTCACGTGCTCATATTTAACAGATTGGGTGGTTGCTTGGCCACAGACAAGCTACGTACATATATGTATATCTATGTATGTATGTACATATATGTATACTCATACCCAGTAGGACTAGGTTGGTTGCAAAATGTATTTATAGCGCGGTTATTTTACCACTCAGAAGTAGTTCCAAAAACATGAAGTCTTTAATTCACTTCTATACTTGTGAAAAAAGAATGCGATTACTTTTCCACGCAGATACCTATTTACTAACTTTTCATACAGAAATTAAATGTACTTCAAATTTTCTGAAGAAATTAACATCATGTCGGGACCACATACATTCTGCCCTGCCCGACTGAATATGTTTGTATGTATATATGTTAAGATGTATCCACAGACACGCACTTTATAAAAGTTTGCTGCATACTTTAATAGTATTTTAATAAACTCACTTTATTTCAAAAACCGCGTTACTTGCACTTTTCTAAATTAATATTTGTGTTTATAAATTTTCAATTTGTTCACATGAATTATTAATTTTTATAAGTAAGCAAAAACACTTTAATCGAATGAACACGTTTCCGCAGACACCGAAGCACGCTTTTCTGTTGCTGGCATTACTCTGCCGTACCAGAGAATTTTTCTAGCTATTCTCTGCTGTTACTGGCACTCTTCAGCGCCGTCTGCTGAGTATGGCGGCGACGAATTAACAGCGGAAACGAATAGAGCCAAAAATGTTAAAGAAAATGTTCGACGAATCGAGGGAATACAAGAATTTCGGTTATTTTTGAGAGTTTTTTGTTGTCGTATTTGAAGTGCATTGTATTTATTACCTTGTAAAAGGGCTTAAAAAATTTGAATCGATGATAAGTAACTCAAGTACAGTTGCCTTGGTAAATTATTACCAAAATTGGTAGAAAAAATTTACGTTGGTAAAAAGGTAAATTTTTTCTCATTTTGGTAGATCTTTGTAAAAGTATTTTGTTTGAAAAACAAAACTGATATTTTGTTCCCGCTTTATTTTTCATAGTTATCTTTATGTATATTATAAATTTATTTCCAAAAGTGTAGTCTTCTTTATTGCATTAATGCTTTAGTGCATACTTTTTATATACATACATACATAAGCGAACATATCGTTCTACATTCTTGAGGAATTGTCTAAATATTTTAAATGTTTCTTTAAAAAAAAATGGACAGGTTTATTTTACATGCTATAGTTCTACAAGAAAAATATTAAAAAAATCATCGCCAGTTCTTAAAAATGTCAATTAATAAATTTAAAAAAAATTCAAAAGACCGGTGGCATATATATTTTTTTAATCAACGTAAATTTTTAGCTGCACATTGTTGGTTACACTAAAATACAATGGGCTAGAAAACTGCACACCGAAAATGGTTCAAAAGATTCAGAGTAAAAAGTGCAAAATTTTGACGAAATGCTTTTGAATTTTTCGAAATGTTGTAAATAGCTTGATTTCTTCATTTGTACGGGTTTGGTTAAAGCGCAAACAATATTCATATAAAAAAAAATGCTAAAAAATGTTTACTTAAAAAACATTGTGAATATTAATAAAAATACCAAGCGCTTTTTTGAGTCACTGTATTAGCTTATTCTATGTAACTCCAACTGAAGTTTTTTAAAGATGAAGTTTAGTTGTTGCCTTTCGTTTCATCACTTTCGCTTTTGGTTTTTATTAAAGTAACTAAAAAAAAGTTATTGGTAGATATTTTCCAGATTTGGTAGATTTTTTCCAAGTGGATGGTAAATCTTTTTTTCGTCAGTGGCAACATTGCTCAAGTACCTATATATCGTTACCTATAGAAAGGCCCCATGATGGGCCCCATGATTCAATAATACAAGGTTAGATAATTATTGACAGCTGCGGTTTGACACTCCCTTACAAAAGGTTGCATTTACGAAGGACAGAGAAAGGGCAAGAATGCAATCCCTTGTTGCGAAAATGGTAGTAGAAAAGTACGCAAAGTAGGCAATTAGTAGTGAAATTCATTTTGTAAATTCTAATGTATTTGCAGGAAATCTGGACTTTTAAACGAAATGTTGAACGTAATATTGATATATCTACGTGAATTACGTAATTTATGTGCTATTTAGCTGTACAAAAACTGCAAAATGACTCAAAATTAAAATAAGACTACTATGAGATTGATCTGAACATCCAATGCTTATGTTTTCATCAGTTAAATATGCTTCATACGCATATACAAATAAACATATTGCACAGAAGCTTATACTTTTATTTCACACCAAAGCTACACTGTTTCCATGTAAATTTGCAAAGAAGCAACACGGTGCCACTGCTAAGGGAGCGGTGCGAGAGAGACAACTGTCAGTTTATCGAACCTTGTATTATTGAATCATGGAAAGGCCCTATCTCACATTGTCGCTAAAATGCAAAACAGCCATAAGTAACTAAAAATTGTATTTGCATAAAACGATGTGGGGACTTATAATTCGATGAAACTCTTCATAACCAATCAAAAAGTGAATGTCTAGTTGGCTTCGGCTTTGTGTATTTCAGCGACAATGGAGATAGGGCCTTTCTATATAAAGAATATGTACACACTTCACAATTTTTGTATCATAAAGCACTTTTAACATAGGAGCCGAGCCCCATGCGCACATACCAATGTTTATATATATGTAATTATGTATTTATATTTTTATGCAATACGGGCGGGAAAAGATAATGTTTTGTTCTTCTTCGCTAAAACTATGTTTGTTTTAAATTATATACTGTAGACGTGTTCATGCGAAACTTACTATGTATGTACATTAGGGTGGTCATTAAATGTAGGCAGTAAATTTTTACATAGGATTTCCGAAGGGATTCTACGTCGATGCTACTATAGTCACAGATGTCGCATATAAATTTTGATCCGGACTGGAGACGGTAAAGGCGTGTCGCACAGGGGGGCAAAGATAAATTCATCTATGGAGACACAACATTTTTTTTTTATCTAATACCCAAAATCGATACTACTATGGTCGAAGATATCACATATAAATTTTGGCCCGGTTAGAGTCGGTTAAGGCGTGCCGCACAGGGGGTCAAAGTTCAGTTTACCCTATGAAGACGTCTTAACCGACTCCAATCGGGACCAAAATGGATTTTCAGTATTCAAAGAACAATTTTTTTTTTAATTTTTTGAGTATCCATAGGAATATGAACTATGCCCCCTGCGCGACACGCCTTAACTGTCTGCAATCGGGACCAAAATTTATGTGTGTTAATAAATACTTTCAAGGTCTTTCTTTTATTATCGTTTTGTGTTCATTTTCAAAGCATATTGAGGACTTCCAAAAGAAGCTGTAGTATAATTGGTTAATAAACAGATGAACCACTTCGTGTTCAACATCAATACCTCCGCTCATAAAAGCTTGCACACCTCTTCGATTTTTCGCTTTTGTTTCGCCAAAAGGGCGTACTCCACGGGAACTAAAATTTCAAGTTATTTTTTTTGTTATTTTCACCATATTCTGTAACAGCAAACTGCCTTGCAAAATATTAATATCGTTAAAATTATATATATTATTTAAAATATATGACACACTTTTCAATTTCCCTCCTAAATACGCTCAAAAAACATTCCTAACAACCACAAATAGTAGTCGCCTGTATACACACTTTGTAGCAACTGCAGGTGTCAGTTGAAACTTGCCAGTTGCCATCTGTAATATCGTTTTGGAAACTAGCAACACAACTGAATTTCGATTGCTATCGATAATCGACCCATTATAAGTGATATCTATGACCGTGGTATTACCGATTGAGGGGTGAGACTGAAAAAGTTGTTAATTTGATTTTTTTAATAACCACCCTAATGTACATACATAAGCATAACACCGATTTAATGTGATACTATTTATCAGAGCACATGCTAAATATTCTCTCTTTATTAAAAACACCGTGCCATTGAAAATGTATAGAAAAGGGCAGGTGCCCTATTCTTGTTTGTGGATCCTAACAGAAAATAACAATGTTAATAACAGTACCGGTTGCTTGGGTGTTGTGAACAGTACTGTTCAATGCCACCATTTTGCTGCTTTTGAAACTACATAGTAGATTTGTTCCTGTTCTCGCTTGCTCTGCGAGGTAGAACTGCAAAAATATCAATGGTCGGACCATTTGATAGTTTTGGGCCTCACCATTGGATAGTATCGATACTCTCGGTAAGTGATGAATAATCTTAAGAGAAAAAAATATGATATGCTTACTACGGCACAGTCAAGCGGCACTGAAATCAAAAGGTACTAAAATAGTGAAATCGGGAATGGAAATGTCGCACCACGCTGGCGTTACGGCTCAGATGATGCGGCTCAGAGATGCCAATAGAAAAAGCGGATAGCTCCGTGCTACCACCGTTTAGTGATGACGTTAGGAAGATTGATGAATACACAGTGGCTGCGACTAATGACTTGAGGAACAAAACGGAAGAATGTGAGATCACAAGAATATTATGGCCGCGGCTTAGTAGTAAGTAGGCAAAGGGCATACTGAAACTAAATAAATAAATCTGCAGTAAGAGTTCTTACCGGCGTCATCATAAAACACTGCTCTAACCCTGGCGAATACCAACAATTACTTTCTGCAGAGGCTGCCATGATGAGGACGATGTCCAGGCCTACAGACGAAGTGCCTCAAGCAATTGGCTTCACGCTGCTTCAACAGTCTGGGCGTGAGATAGCGGAGTTGGAACTGTTGGATCTTCTCGGTTTCATTAGGGATAGTAAATAATTGGTTCAGTAGTATAAAGATTTGATCTACTCTTTCGTACGTGTCTCCTTCTGACAACCGCTTAAAGATGGAACTCACAATGGACAGATCTACCTCCGAGTAAGAGAATGGAATATTCCAAACACACACCCTTCTCACCTAACCTTACCTACTACGGCTTTAATCATACTAAATATGGTAGACATGAATTCTGGTATTACACACCATTTTACAATATAAAAAAGCATAAATACGGTGGCAAAAACATATGGCGACTGATAGTCGATGGGCATCCATATATCTACTTTCTACTGACAGTCCCCTATTGAGTCTAGTAGCGTAATTTTCTGTTTCCTGCTTATGCATATTCTGTTATTTGTTTACATACATTTTCAAACTTGAAGTAGTGGCGGATTTGCAGTCCTGTCCGCCCTAAGCCATATAGTACTTAGCAGCCGCCCTTTTCTCAGGCTCCCGTTAATTATATAGGTACTAAGTATACATACATATATGAATTTACTTTTTTCCGAAATTTATCGAAAGATATCATCGATAAAATAACGCCGGTCCCTGCATTGCTTACGGCTAACATTTGTCCTTTTATACCAGGCATGCCTAGCGCGGGAAAGATTTGTGCACTTGCCTATGGAGTTCTGCCAGCGCTGGGCATGGGATGGTCAGAAGAATCTCTGATGACAACACTAGCCAATTTGAACAGCTGTTATCTATTGTGCAAGTAAGCAAAGAAACTACGCGAGTTTGGCGTTTGGCTGGATCTTCGATTGGATCGATTGAAAATATTTGTTTTATTTATTTATTGCATTTATACCTTTTGATTTCCCATTTTCTTTTGTTTAATTTTCGTTCAT